CGTGATTTAATAAAACACCAGATTAGATAAAAAAATCAAAGGCCATCCAAAAGTCAGCCCAGACATAAAAACTACTCAGATGTCCACCTTTCATTGGAGCTAAATGATAGTTGATTAGATTACACAAAAAAAAAGGAAAATTAGATTCACATGTTGGCACCCGTAAACATAGATACCAGTGTTCCAACAAAGCCGGTGCTTTCTCTGGCAAAGTGCAAATAAGTGCAACATCCTGCTGATAAAGTTGTTTGACCTATACAGAGGCTCCTTTTTCTTTCTGTTCTCATTTTGTGTTCATGTTTTTGGTACAAATGTTCACGGGGCTGAAGTTGTGTCAACAGGTCGCTGTGATTCAAGGAAACAAAAGGAGGGAGAGATTCAGGTCATCTATGTTGTTGATGAACTAAAGTGGACTAAATATCAAAGAAGTGATTCTCATTGAAAATAGGGCAGTTTTGTTTTGGTCGGTGCATGAAGAACTTTTACTGGCTTTTTTTCTCAGACGTGCACAGAAACACGTAACATCCGTGGTGCAACAGCATCAACAACCTTTCGTTTCTGACAAGAAGGAATCATTTTAGTTCCCGTATTGTGTATTATTCCACCCACAGTTGCATTTAGGACATGATACACGGAAACAGAACCGGTGCCCATAGAGGAAAACAAACAGAAATCGTGCAGGACGAGGAGGAGGAGGAGAGCTTCGCATTTTTCGAGCTACGTGATTCGAGTCTTGTTCGTTTGTGACGTACAAAGGAAAAAGCAATCTGAGGAGCGAGTTTCCGTAAGGAGACTAGAAAGCTGCAAGATTAAATATCAAACAATTCACTACACGGAAAAACACTGACAGCAAAAATTCTTATTATGAAATGAGTGTTTCATTGGTGATCTGTCAGTGGGTGTCTGTTTGGCAGGTGCTGGAACACATCAGGTTACACGGCTGTGCTGCTTTCCAAATAAATACCTTTCTGAAGAAGTGAGAATTTATGACACGACAGGTGGCTGATGAGTGACTGCCGATGCCGTCATCCAGGAGCTCACACATGCCCGAGTGCGTGCAGGATCCACGGCTTCTCTCCTGGAGGCAGACGCAGGGAGCGCTTCCTCTTTTGGAAAAATAAATTCCTCCGAACGAGCAATCTGATTCTACAAAAGATTACGGCGTGCGGTTCTGAGGAATTTGAGGGAAAATAATCTCACTTCCTGAGATGACTAAAGAGGTCAGCTGGGTGGTTTTTTACTGGCATTATAAAGACAATGATTCACACAAAACAGGGGAAAAAAATCATAAACAAATTCCATTTTTCTATATATATTTTAAGTACAATCACTCAAATCCTTCTACTAAAGGGGCGTTAATATTGCTTCAATGTGCTGAGGACAAACTTAACTTCAATATTTTTAAGTAAAAGTATATTCAGAATGTCAGTATATATATCTAGAGGTGGAGTTTACACAGTTACTGGAACAAACTGAGGTGTCAGTGAGACATCCATCATGAACTTAAGTAACCTTCGGTGTGACCCACTTTTCACCGACAGCCTTCACCTTCATACGTGTCACTGTGCAGGATGTTTGCACAACCAGCAGGTTTTCTGTTACCGGATTGTGCCGGTACAAAAAGCATTGTCATGATTTCAAAAGACAAATGATAGTAATCCTCACGTACTGCCTCCGTACGTGGCAAACAGGAAAGAACTCCAGAGGGTCACCAAAATGGCTGAGAAGGTCACTAGGTGCCCTGTACCCACACTGGAGGATCTTCATGGCTCTTCATGCCTCAGGAGAGCCGACACCATCCTGAAGGACTCGGGACATTTCCTGTTCGAGCTACTGCCATCAGGAAGAAGGTCCAGGGCCATCAGAACCAGGACAGGGTCATCAGAACCAGGACTGACAGACTGAAGAACAGCGTTTTTCCCAACTGTTGTCAGAGCCATAAATGCCTCCCTGTCGCAATAAGTGCAATATATTGTAAATATATGACTCCATCACCTCTGTCCACTGTGCTCATGATTTATTTTCATCTTTTTATATAGAGTTCATTTTTGTTTGTTTTATATTGTATACAGTTGTTTTTCGTTGTGCTCGCTACAATGACAATAAAAACGAATCTGAATCTGTATCACGAAAATGTTTGGTAGTTTTCTCCTCCGAAACGTCACCACGTCTCACGAAAGGAAAGAAGGAATGAAAACGCACGACCACGTTGTCATAATAAAACAGTAATTTATTTTTGACTGAAAACTAAAATCGTCTGAACAGCACATTACAAGGGCATTGTTAAGATATTTTCTCCAAGGCTCAGTGATCACTTTCATACAGTACATTTGGCATGTACGCGGCATCTCCTTCAAATGAAAGAAAAACAGAAAGAAAAGAGAAAAGAAAGAAGCCCATTTGCAAAAAAACAAAAGAAAATCAAAAAGTTAAAAAAGAAAAAAAAAAAAGAAAGATGACTGATTGTACAATTACCAAGCGATTTGGTTTGTTTCTAAGCCACAGAGAAAGAAACCGACGACAGCAGGCGCCGGCAGAGGAGGCACAAAGACGTGACACAGACGGGACATCCCATAATATGCTCGTACACAATCGATTGGGATCCAGCTTTAAAGTGTGAAATGTTTATAGTTTTGGATATTGCTCACGAGTTAATTTCTTCTTCGCAAGCAGTTGTTGGTGCGTTTGAAAACTAGATGCTGCAAAATCTGCAAAACCCTTGATCACAAGAAAGATGGCTCCTTCTCTCACGAGGCCGTTCCCTCCATCCGACACCAATACCTCCCCGTTCGTTTTTTTTTTTTTATATTCTTCCCATCAGCTACTTACTCCACCCTCTCTGCTCTTTGTTCCCTTTCGTAAATCCTCTCACAATCATTCACAGACTTTGACAGAAAAATAAGAGTGCTGGATAAAAACATGAGGTAAGAAAGTGGTTCGATTATAGATCATGCAGAACATGCAAAACAGCAACAAACGAAAAAAGAAAAAAAAATACAGGGAAGGAGAGAGTAGAAAACAAAATATAAGTGTGCATTTAAAAATGAGGAAAAAAAAAAGAAAAAAAAAAGACTTACACAGCTTTGCGTCTTTGGTTATAAAGTAGGTCGAACAATTTTTCACAGCTTTTCATCCCCTCCCCGAACCGAACCCCCAAATTCATTTCCATTTTTCGTTCTGACAAAGAAAGCCTAGAAAAAGGTACATTAAGAGTTTTCTTTATCCAAACATCCCATTACATATCTTAACAACAGGCGTTCTCCTGTACAAACCCTCCAACCTCTTAATACTTTACACTTTACAAAATATACATTCAACCTGGATTCTCACCTAATGTAAGCTCGCCTTTAGTGTTAGCACTATTTCATGAGAAGAAAAATTTCTATTATGGAACTTATTGCCTACTTATTGAAGATCTACTTGTTGCGAGAAACTACCAAATTTAATACCTGACAGATTCTAAAATACCAAAAGACCAAAGAGAAAGGTTTCTTTTTTTGTTGTTTGTTTAGAATAAGTATCTCCATGACATTGTTCATTTACATTATGAAAATAGCAGCCCTGAAATAAATAAATGCAAAATACTAAAACTGAACTAATGAAAATTTATGATGATTCATGTCAAAGTACGGTGGCTCTGAGAAAACAACACAAGCTTTTGATGCAGCATATAACAAGCCGAGGCTCTCGACCCGCTCCGCTCGAGCTGAGGCGCCCCCGCTGGCGTCCTCCTCTGCTCGGGGAGGACGAGTCCTTTATCCCACGTCTCCCTCTGCACTCTGGCCTCCTCCAGCCCTGGAGTGATGTGGGGTGTGGACACCGGAAGGACAGTCCCTGCCAGATGTTTCTACAGGACCCTCGACACCACACTTGTCCCTCACAGGGTTGCAACACTTTCTTCCAACCACTTGATGCCCCGACAAATTTAGCTCTCCGTGCCCATGGACTACGTCTCCTGCACGAGAACAACATGCAGTTTTATGGTGCACACCGGCTCCTCCTCCTCCTTTCCTTCGCTCTCGCAGCCAAACAAAGGGCCAGAATAAGACTTTGCAAGGGGTGTTAAATGTCTTAATAATGTGAAGGCCCAGTGACGGCAGCGTGCGCACACTGAAACATGGCTCTTGGTGGCAAACAAAGATGTCGCTGTTGTTGATTTGTCCTCAGATGGAGCGTGCTGAACGTAGAGCGAGCCTTTTGCTTTATGGGGTTTAAGGGGACGGTAGAAGTTGTCTTTACTAACAGGCTCTTCCACTCCTGTCCGTGGGAGGTGTGTGTTTGACTGTTGTGTGTAAAAGGGAAGGGGGATCACGCCGAGGTGATGTTGGGCTGATGGGGGACGCTCTGGCTGCCCTCGTGGTGAGCCAGGGCGGGGGTGTTGTTTGCGACGAGCGGGTGTTGCTGCTGCAGCGGCGGCGACGTGCTGCTGCTCTGGGTGAGCTGGCTGGACAGCTGGTTGAGCTGGTCCGAGTTGGCCAGCGACTTCAGCACGGCGTTCTCGCGCTCCAACACCGAGTTTCTCTCGTACAGCTCCTTGATCTGCTCCTTCAGCACCTCCACTTCCTCGCGAACGGCATACATCAGGTGGCTCTTCACCAAGTCCTGAGAGACAAAGGAGGCAAGAGGGGAAACTAAAATTAGGACAAAGAAATAGTTTTGCACGTAACACGTTTGGTTCTCAAACAAAGAGAAAGAGCGTCATTACAGAGCTTCAAGTGGGAATGTGTGATCTATTTTTGCCAACGTGCCCAGAGAGGTGTCTCTGCAACTGCTTTTCAAGAGATTCCTTATCAATCAAACCGCAGAGACAACCTGCTGCCCGATCACATCTTACATAACTTCAAAATTAATCAGTGGAAAACTCACCATTGCCTGCTCAATCTTGTTATCGATGGCAACGACGCTAGCACCAGAGGCACTGTGGAGAGAAACGAACAAGAGTTACCATAAGATCTGGCATACACCACATGCTTCAGATGGATATCTCGTCTTTCACATTCACCGGCTGCCAAATCTGGTTTGCCGAGACACAATCAAGACTGGAGAGATTTCACTGGAACTTATGAAACAATCACGGAAAGAAAAAAAAAACATCCCTGAGGCACTTCTGCTGTGCAAATCTATTTCTAGAGAACCCGATAAACAGATTTGAATCTTCTCCAAAATACACACATCAAAACGAAATATTACTTGAGTGCATTTGATGGAAGAGTCGCCGCTGACAAACACACACTGTACTGTTAACACACCAGCAGAGGAGGGGCTGTTGTATGTACATTACAGGCCTGACACTGTACTCAGTGTGCCAACAGCCAATACACAGCTTCCAGTGGAAAAACTACCAGAATGACGAGGTGAGAGGTGAAAAGGTCCTACGATAAACACAACAAGCTCCACTTTGTGATCCAGCTCTGTACACAAACAAGGCCCTCAAAATTAGCTCTAATGACGCCCAGCAAGTGGAAAACAGTTGCATTTCAGTACCGCTTTACAACCTTACCCCTATATTTACTGTACAGACGTTCCCAGATTGAGCCATAAAATCAACAAAAGGCGATGCATCCTCGGCCCTCATCACCGACACCATCGGTCCAAACAGAGGAGGACTTCTCTCTAAATGATGAGGTTTATTTTAATTCTGGAGAACATGTGGACGACTGATGTGGTGTCAGTGATGCGGGAGAACCAGGGACCATCAGCAGCATCTCTTTCATCAGTACATCAAGTTTTCCAAATCAACAGCTGAAATGAACATGACTGTGCATACAAACAAGTTGCCAAAGACAAAACCTTAAAACAGCCATCAACCCAGAACATCTTTCCCTGTTAGTTCAGCAGCAGCAGGACTGACAACAATGCAGCTGGTGGTTAAAACACAGACATCCCAGCCAGTCCTGGCAGGTTTCATCAATGCATTTACCGAAAGCGATTACAGAATTGCATTGTGGCTCCGTGGAGCAGGAGTTGTGTTCCGGGTGGGGCTGATGCTGCCGTCAGCGATCAATTCACATTATCAGGAAAATCTGTCCCCCACATGTAAAAACACACTCATCACGTCTTGATAAAAATGCAAACCATCTGCACATCTTCTACGTGCACTTTGTTTTAAAAAACCCGTTTCTAGGTCACATCAGAGAAGCGCAACATCTTGTTTTCCGACCTCTCCCCTTCTCCCAGAGGAGCCACACAAAGATCACTTTAAACACAATCAACTTACTTGGCCACGCTACAGATCCTCATACAACAAAACGATGCCGTTTCCCCTCACGGAATAAAACCCACTTTTATTCGTCTCAACAGATTTCTGGGAAGGGAAGAAAATAAAAAAAAACCCGCTCCGCTGCACGTTCGCCGCCCTGCTCGGATGTGGATGCAAAACAAAAGGGAGCGCCGCGCAGTGACGTCGCTAGAGGGCGCTCTGAGCTGAATGTGAGGCAGCGGAGGGAACATAATGTGCAGACCGCCTCTGATTCTTCTTTATTGGGAGTTTAAACACATTTGTGATGATTAGTCTAATAAGAAAACGCGATGGAAGAATCTAAATCTGATTAAAAGTGAGTGTCTTTTTTTTTTTTTTTTGAATTTTTTTTGGAAAGGCACATCCCAGACCCAGTAAACACACAGAGGTTACAGATATCCAAGATTCTGTACAAGTAAACTAAACATGAAATGAATCCATCTGTGTGTCATATATTATATACGTTAATGATGATGTATATACACAAAAACATCGCTGCAAAAAAAAATTAAAAAAAAGATTTTTCGTGCGTAAATTTGATAGAGCTGAAACTTTAGAGGGAAAAAAATGATTATTATTTGAATTATTTTTTGGAAGAGGTGACCCATGACAATATAAACTGGTGTACAAAGATGTAATGATAAAGTGATCAGCGGCAAAACAGTGAGCAACAGCGTCATATGGAGCTCCCACTGCGCATCTACTATTTGCGTCCTGCGTGCCGGAGCGCACGTACAGCGCTGGGCAGCCCCGAGGGGCAACACGCACCAAACAAAACCCACATGTGAGGGTAAAAACAAAACAAAACAAAACAAAAAAAAAACAGGCTGCTTTGCCATAACCTGGAGAGATCGACCTGCATACCAAACAGCTGCTGGCAAAATACTTGAACCCATGTGGGGGGGAAACGACAACAAATGGCCACTGAGCAGATGAGATTTAAACCATGTGGAAGGCGCATCAAACACCGAGATTTAACGTTAAATGACTTGGGAACAGCTTTACAGTTAAGTATATGAACGCACAGAAGATGTGGCATCCTAATGGCCACACGTGAAAGAAGAAAACTTGCAGAAAAGCAGTTCTTTACCTGACGCATCTGGCCCTGTAGGACATGAGTCGCCCTGAGTGAGGCGGTGAGGTTCCCGGCGAGCAGGGGAGGCTGTAGCTCATTTTGCTGCGCATCTTAGCGGCTCCTCCAAAAGTTTTCTAATACACTTGGTCCACTGCGTGTGTAAACACTTGTTTGACTATAGGAGCTGAGTGTTTCTTAAAACCCCGCTCCGTCACATGGTGAAGAAAAAACCAGGAGGCGGAGTTGTTGCCTCCTCCTCCCTCCTCCTCCTCCTTCCTGGTCCCTCCTCCACTTCATTTACTCCTGGGAAGTCTCTTGCACAAGTTACATTATTCACTGCCACTGTCTGCCAAAAAATTATACACTGCCACTCCAGAGGCACAAGAAGACTTATTCAAAGGCTCAACTTTAATTAAAAAAGCAGACAGAGCTTCACATGTGCTGGCAAAAGAGCTTTTGTTGGTCTCTGTGCCAACTGGTGACAGTATGTTGTTTCAAATGAGCCGTTTAAAACTTGGTCCCTACAAGCAGAAGAAGTTCATTTCTCCACATTTGCTCTTTCCATGTGACTATTTGAGTGCTGAGGCAGAGTGGCAAGACAGTTTAGCTTATGAAGTGTTTATCAAAGCAAATGGTCACGTTGGCATTAAGACTATTATGTATGAAAACACCACAAGAAGTCCTGCTGAATTCCCCGGATAAACTCATACGCTTTGCGAGAAATCAAATTTGCAACGCTTCCCTCTCCGCCTTTTCTTTCCCGGGGCAATGAGACGTACGGAACACGTGAGGCCGAGCAACGTTTCTGCTCATCGGAATTCTTTGTTGAACTATCGAGCGGCTCAAAAGGGTCGAGCTGCAGTTTTGACATGATGCATTACATGACAGATCCACTCTGCAGCAGTGACAGCCGGGGAAATGAGTTGCATTCCCCAACAAGCGCCTCGCTCGGATGTGCGATCTTAACGCTGATAAACAACACCAGGACAAGACATTCCTCCCTTTGAACTGAACATTTACACATCTGGGACAGTGAAAGAGAAGAATGTCCACGAGTTTTGGCTGGAATGTGTTTTTATCAAATAAAGAAAAAAAAAACCCTCAAAAAACACTTGAATCAAATCATGTGTCAAAAGAAATCTGTTCTGGAGGAGTTAAATTAAATTTTAGGGAGACACAAAAAATTGTTGCCATTCGGCATCCAAGGAAAACAAAGCAAACTGTACATTTTATTCAAGGAGGAAGACATGTGGTGGTTTATATAAGGACCACTCGCTGCGTTAACCTCAACATGGACCTTCCCCGCAGATTGCAGCAGCGTACACATGCACTCGTCCCCCTCCCCTCCCATGTCCTCCTCCTCCTCCTCCTCCCTACTCACTCGCCTCT